ACGTAACATAGTGGTTGGGTGGCCCTGGAAATAAGCACAACTAGGCATATGAAAGTTAATACGAATCTATATTTTACATACTTCTTTGGTGAAATTAGTCGTAAAAAGTTGTTCATCTTTGAAATAGGGGCTTTGTACATTAATGAGTCGATTATAAACACATTCTATTTTATATAAACTTGCTTGAAATAAACGAGTTAATAATTCAATCTAAATTACAAAAATTATTTAGCTAAAAAACTTAGACATTGATAAGGAATAGTTTTGCCTACACTTCGTCGATTAAAATAAATCTGATCTGACTGCACACTTGTTGAAAAATTTTCATTTTTCCGACAAAATCCGTGCAATGATTCAATTCCTATAACAAAGAAAGAAATAAAGAAATTAAACTCAAGTAAAGTACCCAATAAATGAATATTTTTGATATAAAAAATTTCCGTTTCACGTGTTAACCATTTTTTAACGCGTTTGATAGCATAAGATATTAGTGAGCTCATACGTATTAATTGACTTAAAAAGTTAATGCATCCACATGTATTAAACTTGGTATACCAAAAGTAGACAAAAAAACGTCTATTAAAAACTCATTAATCCTTTCTTGCCCTTATAAAAATGCACCAATCATTTTATATTATATCATCAATAACAAGAATAGTTAACTATAGTTTTTTTAAATTTCTGAACGGACGACAACTGAACTGACAGTGTATGTTGTGAATGTAGTGTTCATGCATTTACATCAATCATATTACCGTGCCGGCTTTACTATAAATTTTAGACATTTTTTCAAATAAAATAGACTATAACGAATGCATTACGTATTTAATATATTGACGCTTGACGGATTTGCTATTGAGCGAGTTGTCCTGCCGAACCGTCAGGTTTAGCCAAAGGCAAGAAAAGGTTAATGCGTTAAAACAAATTAAAGTGGACAGTTTAACGCGTTTACCTAGCGAAAAAATGCCTTTTAGTCTCATATTAAATTTTTTTAAGGCATTTCTTGCATTAAAATTAAATCGATCCACAAGTGCTTTTAATGTGATAACGAGATTTTTCCATTTCAACGTCGTAAAATTTTTTAACGCATTAAAACGCATTGAACTTATTTAATTCATAAAAATACATTAAATTTTAACGAATTAGAATGTATTCACACATGATCATAGCACGGGAAAACAACAATTTTCGAGAAAGTCCCTAAGCCTTTAATAGTATGTCTGATTGTGTAGAAAAAATCGCCGGAGATGAAACTTTTTGAGAGGAATCGTACTATTTTTGGTTTTGGAGAGCATTAATGCATCTCTAACGAGTGTGAACGCATCAGATTAATCTGAATATATGTAAATGCATTAAATGGATGGAAAACTTTTTTTATGCATTTGAACGTGTGAAAAATTTCATGAAGTTTGAATGCTTCGTTAATAAGGTATTTAAACCTAGTGAATTTGTAAAAATACATTAGAAATGTTAAAAAAACGAAGACTCCTAAATGGATTAACTTTTACAATATGTAAAAGCGTTAAAAAAGTGTTTTATCCATCTAATAAGTTTAGATGTATTAAAGGTACAAAAGTATCGATTTCGATGCGTTCCAAGGAAATTTTTTGTATTAAAAAAATTCATTGGTTGATGAAAGAAACAATATCGTCAGATCTTTTGCTCCCTTTTTTTATACACGAGAACACTGAGAATCATCTACGTATACTCGTCACTATCACACACACACACAAGAACAGATACAAGCAGTATATAGATATAGTGACAACAAGACAACAATATTTCAAGGAGTGTTTTTTCGCTTTGATTATAATAAAATATAAAGTGCATATGACTAGCAGTGTGTACCTTTTTTTTTATGATGATGAGGTAGACCACCGTCTTCACTAGATGAGCTGCTACTCTCCTGTTTTACTCGCAATAATGATTGCCCTAGAATTGAATGCGGTTTGTACTAATCGACTGTGATAATAAAAAAAAAAAAATTGATCTTTTAATGAAATCCACATACCTTCTTTTGATTTTTGCTGAATTTCGAGATCACTTTTTAACATTTTCATCCAATGTGATAAACTTTTTAAACGTCGTTCTTGAGTCATTGCATTATGTTCACTTTCGGCCTTAAAAAATGTAAAAAATCTAGAAAAAGATTTTGATCCAGTAATAGAACACGGTTACTTACATAAATGTCATATAATAGAATTTCTGATTCAGGCACGTTGATATTATAATATTTAACGGCTGATATGATATCTTCTTGTGGAATGATTTTTAATTCAGATAATTCTCTTGATAACTAAAATTGAAACATTAAATCAAGTAAATCAGAATAAGTGATAGACATCAGAGATTCTTTCCTTACTTAGAAAACAATAGCGCTCTCCCAAGGTGAAAGCTAATTAGATCTTCACTTTCTTTCAAATTGCGATTAAGAAAAAATGTACGTATAAGAAAATCGAAATTTATATATTTTAAAAGTTGCTTCTCGAATTTCAGCAAACTAATCAAGTCTTACCGTTATAATAATTTGTAAATGTTTAAATTCTGAATTGAATAATTAAGTTTTACTCATTTCCTTTCAAGTGAGTGTTAATGCTCCTCTAAAAATTTTCATTTAAGATCGTTTGCCTCAAATATGCCACAGAATGAACTGTTACGAGAGAATCTATGGAAGTGTCTCCCTCAGTTTTGCTTCGAACTTATGCCGATCGATAGCATATATCGAGATAGTAAAAAGTCTAAAAGGATTTTTGTCCATGACTCTTCCTTCAAAAACTAGAGCAGTTTTTCTGTTTTTCCCAGCGGACATCAGGAAAAATAGAAAAATTCATAACTCCGGGAAGTTAACTCGTATCCACTTGAAATTTTTACACCAGGTAGGACTGTGCAAACACTGATTACTCCGAAAGTTTCAGCTCTCTAGCGCGTTCCAAACAGCCCTACCTGGTGTAAAAATTTCAAGTGGATACGAGTTAACTTCCCGGAGTTATGAATTTTTCTATTTTTCGCGATATCCGCTGGGAAAAACAGAAAAACTGCTCTAGTTTTTGAAGGAAAAGCCATGGACAAAAATTCGGCATATGTTCTAAGAAAAACTGAGGAGGGCACTACCATAGGTTCCCTCGTTAGAAGAAAAATACTATACTAAGCAAACACTTTCTTTTCAGATTGATCTCAAACTCGAGCTAAACACATATTTCAATGAACGTTGATGCAGCAAATAACATACTCTAGCCATTTTATCTGTTAATGTTGACATGCTGTTAGCATATATCTGAACAAATTTATTTGTTTCTTCTATTCTATCGTTTTCCATTTTTTCCATTTGATCACAAGCCTAAATAAGAGTAACAAAAGTTCATTCGGTGCTTTTGTGGATAGTAAGTGTATTTTGTACAAACCTTACACATCTCATTATCACATGCTTGTCGTGCAATTTCGACTTCTCGAGTGGCGTCATGGTATTTTCGTTCTGTTGATTTTAACTCATCTTCAGCTTTTCTTATTGATGATTCCATCTAAACATAAAACATGAAAATAAATATACAGGCAAATATCAAATGTGATCAACAATCGTTAGGTCCGGATTGAATATATTTCTCGTGTCATAAACGTGTGAGTTTTTATTTTAAGCGCACTAAATGATCAATGTGACAACGTCTGTTAATTTAACGTGCATCGTGTGCTCAAATTTACAAAAGAAAATCTTATTAAGCAATAAACTAGGAGCAGAAACGAATATCAAATTTTAATTCAAGAAGCACGTATAGATTATAATAGAGAATCAAGAAGACTTTCTAAGACGTTTACAACTCCAGATGGTAAAGCAATTTGTTTAGATTTCTCAGTTGTAAACCTCAATTTAACATAACTTTACATATTCACCCATAGTATGAAATAATATATGATATTGTTTTTGTTACACTAATAAAATCAGTAAAAAGTCTGTTTTGCCTGTTATTAAGATTGATAAAAAAATCAAGCACCACTTCATTTCAAGAAATAGCCGGAATAATACCAGTGTGAAATACAGATTTGAGCTGATGAACCTATTAACGCGTTCTGTTATTTTGACTTTCGGTTATATTGTTCTTCATGAATGTTAAAGATGTTATATTGAAATCTCGACCCCTGTAAGTGATCTATTCACTCAAGGCAAGTTATCTTGAATGATTATTCTTTCGATAGTACAGAAGCTGTCGGACAACTCAAAACTGACAAATCTGACTTTTCAACGTCGTACACCATTCATACTTCTCTCGTCACCCTATACAAAGACAGAAAAAAGTGAGATAGGCTGAGCCAGTGTTAATAATGACGATAAAAACAAGGCATTAGTTAAGCAAATCAAATCCAACGTACATCGTTCACACGCGATACGCTAGAGTCAATCATCTACTCTTTTATACATTTTTCGATATACAAATACCAAATGATGCATTATTCTCCTATACACCACCACACACATCGAGAAATTGATTATCAAAGCTAATAAAAGAAGTACATTTTACCAACACCGCACACATATAAAGTTAGCTCAAAAGCAACCAGCTCTTTAGTCGAACGCTTGTGACTACTTCGGTTGAGCTTTTTTCTTAGCGTTAAAAATAAATCTTTACACGAATGAAGAGTTAGCACACTCGAAATGACTGTCCTTCTGTATTCAAACTGGGCACCAATAAGTAATAATGCTACTTGTTCTTTAAGAGTACGCGTTTAATTTCCATATATCACATCATACCTACTCACTCGAAATCAGCTTCGAGTGCAGATATCCTACTGTTTAGTGTTTCATATAGAAGAAACAAGCGTTAAAAATATGTAAAAACAACTGATACATGCATCTTTTCAAAAGAAACCCAAAGTCGAAATAAATGAAGCAGAATGTTATAGATGACCCTCTGTATATATTGCACACCTGTGATGATGTTGAATGTCGTGGCACACATGCTCCCAATGTAGAAAAAGTATTGGGATTATCCTAAAAAACGAAAATATCGATTCGACCTTCATCTGCTAGATTTTCTCGTTCTTCAGTTCCTTAAAATGACAGTACAACATGGTTTTCACAACGCACTCACTTTTGATCCGTCTTTGGCGACACTTTTTGATGACTTTGGAGCTTCATCTAACTTCGAATATAATAATTCAATTTCTTTGGTTTTTTCATACGAACGTCCACGATACTAACGGAAAAAAATCAATGTTAATGAATGAAAATGAATAGTAACAACAAACTTACTTTTTTATCTATTTCTTTTTGATCTTTCCATGCTTTAAATCTACTGTTTAAACAATCTTCAATCTGCACAGAGAAAGTGTAAGAATCTAGCCTTGCTCTCTTTTTTTTTTACATACCGGTTTTCTGGCTTTTAACTGTGCGTCAGCCCAATTCTTCAATGGAATAGACACATCTTTGACTAGCGTATTTGCTAGATGTTTATGAGCTTCCGATTCCAAATTTATCTGAAGAGCTAACTGTTCTAATGCATGCGCAACAGTGCTAAATAAAAATATAAATTACTTGACCATTTTTTAACCATTTACATCATACCCCTGTGATTTGGGAATTATTTTTTTTATCTTATCACTATTTTTGCTTAAGCTAGCGGCATAAGTGATTTCGATGTCAGATCTGTATAATACAAAATAAAAACAATAATATAAAATCGTAAAAAGAGCATGAAATACGCTAACCTTTCTTGTAAAGATTTAGATATTTCATTGCAAACTTCATTTCCCGCTTTCATCAAATTTTTCAATGATTCGTAGCCACGTTCTCCCTAGAGAAAGATTTAAAAACAGTTTTATGTTACACAGCTGTTTGATTTATCCCAGTAGATTAAAATCAATTTTCAGAATTGTTTTTCATGAATTATAGAACAATATTATACATAATATCATCTGATTTTATGATCTATGACGGCAGTTTTAATAAAAATAACTAGATAAAAATGCTCTTTTTATCATGCTTAAATAGATAAAAATACGTGATATCTTACCACAAAATAATATCGAAATTGATCGACCATGTTTTATATACACACACACACACAAACTCTGTATCTAATAAAAAAATCTAAAATGAGTATAAGATTAATACAACTGTAGTTCGGTATATTTATAGATGAGGCAGATCCACTCAATTCTAGATTTAATTACTCATTAAGCGAAAATTATTATTTTTGTCCTTCTGTGTCATGAATCATTTCCGTTTCTTTTACCGAAATTTTGATTTTCACTAAGTTTTGACAATAGACGAAAAAAAAGTGATAAAATACACAGCAGAATTCTTCTTTCTGCTGAAATGGATAGAGGCGTCAAATAAAAAGTACGTATTGTATCAGGAGAAGGATTTGTCCGGTATTATTGATATAAACAGAAAAAGAGAAGAGGAAAAAACACAAAAAAAGAAAAACAGAACTATGACGATCTAATAATAAACGGTTGGTGCAATATAGAAATGATTTGATGATCTCTTTAGCTTAGTTACACATATACCAAAAGAAAAAAAGAGAATCAGTTGACAAAAAAAGAAAAGAAAAAATGAGATCTCTGATGGTCTTATGATTTTTCTTCGTTTTTTTGCTAGTTAAACGAGTCTTATCCAGTGTCTTCTATCTTATACTTGACCTTCATAAGACTTCTCTCTCTGTATACAATTTGTTTACATATGTATCAACTTTCAAGAATCAACATAACGTTGATCAAACCCGATTTTGTTTAAACGAAAGGCTAGAGGACGAATTCGTTTGATATAGTATAGCAATGAAAGATGCATTATTTAATTTTCTTGATCCATTTAGAGCATAAAATCTAATAAAATTTGATTTTTAAGTCCGTCCATGTTGCATTCAGTATTGAATTATTTTCTTAGTAGGAAGAAGGAACAAAAATATCTCAGTGTATCTCCCCATGTGTAGAATAATATTAGACAGCAGAAAACTAAGATTATCATAGGTACGCGTATTAAATACATTTTCTTTTACAAAAAAAGCGCATTTGCGTATAAAATTCGATTGCAAGCACAGCGTGGGTTCGAGTATTAAATGCATTTTCTTTAGAAAAAAAGAGAAAAAAAGAAGTGCATCTGTGTGTAAAATTCGATCACAAACATAGCGTAGGTACGCGTATTTAAATACGCTTTCTTTAGAAAAAAAAGTGTATTTGTGTGTAAAATTCGATCACAAACATAATTTTGATAGTTACTCTAAGAAAAAATAAGCTATTCTGACTTTTCAACGATGCCGAGATGGTTATACTACGGTCGAAATACCATATTGGACATCATTAAGTGATTCAATCCGATAACGGTATTCAGTATTAAAGAAATATCATTGAATTGAACATTATGGAATTGCTATACAACAACTCCATAAGAATTTTTCTACTTATTGACAAATCTCTTAGATATCTCATTTGGAATAAAGAACACTTCCTGTCTTTTCCCAATATTTATCGAATTCTTTCCTCTGTTCAAACGCTTAAAGGTAATACATCTGTTTCTGTCTTCTTCATGGTTGATGAGAATGACTCATCATAATAATTAAATTATGAAAAAAGAACTCTTATCCAAAATCACGCGATCATCTTCGACTTTCGAGAAAAATAATTAGATAATATATCTCATTTTTATCTTTATCTTTAAACAGTAGATGCTTATACATCTGTATTTCTATCAAATAAACAGCTTCTTTAACAAATTAGTATCATTTAAAAAATGAATATATTTATCCTGTTCTAACATTTTCAAATAAATATTGAAAAAGACAAAAAATTTCAAGTACACTCATTAAATGAAAAACACTAATAAAAATTCATTAATTATTTTTATCGTGCAATATGGACAACGTCTAAATACAATTACACGCACTCAACATTTTTTTTCTTCTTCCTACGAAAAAGTGAAATTTACTCAAATTTGTACTATTAGTAAACAGTTTGGGATAGAGAGACAGAAATCGTCTGGTGAATACATACATACTGTTATCGTTAAAATCTTTTTGAGTTCAAGAGTAGATAGATCATATATTTCATGAAAAAGTGATAAGAGCAGAGAAAAAGAAACAGAACAAAATCACACATGTATTATAGTTTATTCTACGTTGAAGATACGCCTACATGATACAAAAAAAAGAAAGAAAACAGTTTGGCAACAACATAAAAATACAGCTTCATTTTCATATCGAGTGCCAAATTAAATATTCTGTTGTTTAATCTTTCTTTTTATTATGCTGGAAAGAAAAGAAGTCTAATGTCATTTGCAATTGTAATCAATAATATGAGATTCTGCAGACATATGCGCTCTAGTGTTAATGGATGATGTACACAAGATATATCCTGATGTAATTACGTAATGGTGAGTCAAAGGTGATTTTGTCATTTCCTCTACCATGTCAAGGAATTTCGCAACAAAAAACAATTCCCAAATGGTGCGCCAGATAAAAGAGTTATAAAACAAGAATGACTACGTTGATGATAATAATGATTGCTTGTAGAGTTAATATTCCATGACTCATACTGCACCATACGGTGATTACCGATCAAATAATCACTATCCTAACCCAACATATTCATCTAGCATATGGAGTTACTATACACAGCATGTGTGTTAGAGAAGAGAATCAGCTTTCAAGTCGGCACAGCTATTTGTGGTGAATGGGTGAGCACCAAATTTTGCAATTACTACTACAAGTTGTGCGTCGCCGTCTACATGATGCAATTTCGGATGTTAAGAAAAAGATGTTTGAATCAGTAACTAAAAAAGGAAAAAGCAGATCGAGTTTTATAACTTACAAATTCAGCGACAAACTTTGTCTGAATCAAATTCTGAACAAAGCAGATCAACTCAAGAACACTGACTAAGCATGCGAACATTAGTATAACCTCTAATGAGATGGTCACATCTGTGTATATACTTGTGAAGGCCAGTCATAAGAGCAAAGCATATGACTTAATGATCAGCTAAGGTGCGCACAATGCAAAATTAAAGTAAAATTTTTTACAAAAAAAAAAACGGCAAAGCCGTTATTTTACGAATTCGTAGAATGCGAATTGATCTCAAGGACAAGATACATTTCTATGAGGTTAAAAAGAGACAGATTCGTCTCTTCGCATCGGTTCGCATAGTTCTCAACTGAATTTGCCGTTGTTTTTACGAATTCGTAAAATTCTCAAGGACAAGACATTTTTCTATGAAGTTAAAACTAGATTGAATCATCTCTCCGCATCGGTTCTCATACTTCTGACCCGAATACGCCGTTATTTTTACGAATAGGTAAAAAAACTGACTGAAATCTAACGAAACACGTTTGACTTGTTGTGGAAATACTCACAGCCATCCTCCCGGGGGGCGCGGGCGGGCGCG